AATTTATTATACTTGAACCAATCAATAATTATCATCCGGAATTTCAAATTCAAAATATTCAGAGTCTCCGAGCCCTAATTGCCCAAAACTGCACCGTCATTTTAGTCTCAGGTAACTCAGCCTACTGCTGCGAAATTACCATCAGATGCACGATTTGGGTTTTTTATAGTTGTCACTGTGAGTTGGTAGAGTTGTGGATGTATCGAAAATGGTATTAGCAGAATCATGAGTGAGTTCTGAGTTATTGGTGATTTTCCCTAAAGAATTGGTTTGTTTATGCTTTTGGGCATACTGCCATGTGCTTCGTAATTGTAGATGGTTCAATTCCTGGAATCAAAGTACCAACTTACATGCGTCGGTTAAAATCAAGACTCGAGGTACAATGATGCCAAATGAGGCACTGGGTCGCATATGATGGGCTAGTTCTCGCAGGTCGCTGACGATGCGTGATTTCACTCAAAAGGAATGTGGGATCTGAGTTCTTTGAGTGGCCCCCTGAAAAAACAGGTATTACTTTGGATTTATACATATTTCTCATTCCTTGTAGGTTGTTGCATAGAAACAATTATGAAGCCAACGTTTCGTCTTTTTCTATATTTAATTTAGATTAATACATACTTACCTAAAATTGCTGAAAGAAATCTAAGAAGGTTCGCTATTTTGCAATCAAGATCAGTTGAGGTTGGCGTTAACCTTCCTCTCCACAAGGTACCTTTCTTTCCCTCACTGCAACTTATTAGCTAGAGATTTTAGCTCCCCAGAATCATGTCTCGGTTATTGAATTCAGGAATTTCGCAGTCAGTCATTGACTATAAACAGAGAGAAATAGAAACAGATCAAGGGTCATTTATCATTTGTGAGTTGGGAGCCAATTGGGGAGAGTTAGAAGATCTCTAGAACAATTCTMCAATCTACCTAAGGATCTTGATTATTATCCTGGATTTATAGATAAGAAAGACAATTTCAATACTTGATTTTTATCACAACTACATAACAACATTTCGGGATTTACCTTAGAATTTTACTACATAACATGTATTCATCATAAAATTTCGTTTTGGTCTGGCGTTTGGTGATTGTGTATGAAACTTTCGGTTTTGTTTTTAATTAGCACCTTAAAGCTAACTGGCTTTCCCTTACATAATTCAGTTGTAAGTTAAAACATGAACTTGTCTTAACTCTTGGAAGAAATCTTTTTGCAGCCGCAGATGCCAGAGAAGTGTCCGGTGTCTGAAATCATTAAGACTCGCAAAGTACAGGGACGAGAAAGTTTTGAAGTCTCCTGGAATGATCTAGAAGGGTTAGAGACGTCCATTGTTCCTGCAGATCTTGTAGAAAGGTAATGATCAAAATCTGACATTCACTTATTTACTCAA